CAATCCCTGGTACCAAAAGAAAAAAAAAAAAACAAGATAACTATTGAACAAAGTATCTTGTATTTCCTACCTTGACAAATACAACCTCATAAGGATGTGTGAGACAAGTTTTGAACTTAGAATTTTAGGGTCCTTGACCTCCTGCTCTATATGTAGAGACATGACAATAGCAGGGCCATCTACAGCCTGACTAGCTCCTCTTCCCAGCCCTGGCTTCATCCCACACCTTGAGGTTTCATGGAAGTATGTGGCTACTGTGGCTCCCTGTCAACCTCCAGATTCTCAACAGTTCCTTTTTGACCTTCACTCAATCCCAGGGGTAATAAATAGAAATGAAGAACTACTTCAAGAATATGAAGCTAGTTGTGACCCGAAGGAAGACCCTAGAAAGATATTTTCTAGGATTCACAATAATTTTAATATGGTCTGAAGGAAGTGGAAGATTATTTGGGGTTATCCTTTTACGATTCTATGAATTCACTTGCTCCATAGAAGGAGGACAGAAGAGGAAAACACTTAAATCCCATGATGCATAGGACCCATAGCAGTGAGCCTCTAAAGACAGTCTAATTTGCATCACACGGAAGGGGAATATCTGCCATATACCTGACCATCAAAAAAATAAAAAGAAAAACACATGAGCTCTCTTTGTTATGTTCTATGATGTTTTTAATACATTTACCACTGGTTGTAAAATTAGTTTGTGCTATGAGATATTTTTCAGCCTAATCATTCTCACCACAGCCATCATTAAATGTTATTTTTAGACTTTGTTCTTAAGCAAAAATCCACTTTTAGTTTCAAAAAGTATTTTATTCCTTGCATAAATAAAGTCACTTAAAAAGGTAGACACAAGAAACAAGTGACATGCCTAGTAACATTTTCAAATATAAAATAACCAAACATAAAAAGGGTGTCCAAACTCAAAACATATAGGCTACTATATGCAGAAGAAACCACAATATAATATAACCTGTACCCTAGACACCACACATTCACTTGTCACAGTGCACTCAATGATTAAAGAGTGATGAGTGTACACATCCAGCCGATGAGTCTGCAACTGGCCAGGTGTATAATTTCAAAACACAGATCTGGAACCAATACTCTTACTTGAATATGCTCTCAGGGCAGAATGGATTAAACACACAAATAAACATCTACAATAAAAAGAAAGATTGAGCACAAAATCAAAACCAGTAAAGAGAAGTAAACTCACTGATCAAATATATTTTTCTAAGTACTTCAAATTAATGTGCAAAAGCAGCCCGAGGAGTTTCATCCTGAGCTCAGTACAAACAAATCAGCTAACTCAGCAGTGCCTCTTAATAACATGAGATCTCTGATACTCAACATTTCTTATTAAATGTGACTTTTAATTACTTTAAAAATTCTAAATTATTATTTTACAAATTACATAAAGTGCTTGAAGAATGCTTATAGCACATCTAATAAGTTCTGTTTATATTGAACCCTTTTGAATCCTTGGCTGTCGTGTAACCTACATGTCCACTATAAATCACCTTTGCTTAAAGCTTTGACTTGAAAATATAGTCCAATGTGCACCCAGGAAATTGATTTAAAGTTTTTCGGACAAGGTTTCACTAAGTTTCCCAGACAAGATACAAAGCTGCAATCTTCTTACTCCAGGTGGTTTATAATATGACTCCATTGTATATCTCTAACTATATATTCTGGTTTTCTCTGCAAAAAAAAAAAAAATCTATTGTCACTTTGCAGATCTCTGATAGTGGATTTTCTCCTCCCAAGCCTTTGCTTAGGCTATTCTGCCACAATCCTTCTCAACACTGATGGTATGATAATAGAGTAATGCTATATTTAGGACTATGAGGATCTAACATGACTGAGGCAAAAGACATTTATGTTCTTGGAAGGAAATCTAAGTCAGCTTAGATGGAGACACTGTGATTTTGGAATGGCCTCCCCCCTAGCCCACCTTCTTTCTGTCTCCACCTCTACCACACCTTCTCTACTCTCAGTGTCCACTTTGAATATTACCATCTCTCTGGACATATTTTCCTACTTGTGCAATGGCCAATTCTCTCCACTTCAATCTTCGCATGGAGCATGATGTAACAATAAACTATATCTATTGAGAACTTCATGTTCACATAATTGGGCTAAATACTACACAGCATAGATGTCAAAGGAGCCAGGTAGGTAAAAAACCAACCAGTAGAGAGGACTGACTGTAAGTGATAAGAACTACAAAGCAAATTTGCTCTCTACAGACACCACTTCTATTTAGCTGTATGCTCTTCTGACATCTTCCTACATGGCTATTAAGAAATAAGGATCCTTTGCTATAAGTCTTTTAAGATGCCAAATACATAACATTTAGCAATGGAAAGATGATATTGACAGCATCTATTATCTGAATGCTTATAACCTTGGGGAGCAGGGCTACATGGACATTGCACTTGCATCAGAGAGGACCAGCAGAGACTGGAAGCCAGATTTCCTAGTAAGAAGAAGACAGAGTGCCCCTAGTCCCCTCAGGAGTAAATGATTGGCATCATTGAATAATTTCACTGGACGGTAGAGAGGGGAAAACTATTAGATTGAGGCCCAGGTGCAGGTTATCTAGCTGGACTAATAGATGAACTAGATATTTGGGGAACTTTTATTATGACATTGAGGGTATATCAGATTAGATCAGAATATACAGTTAGGACTTTGGGTTCTATGGTGTCAAAGATGTCATGAAAAATTTCAAATTATAGGTGTTATAATACTCAAACAATTATCGCCTGCAAGAATGTAGACTCTCTGCAAGATCTACTGAATTTTCAAGATTAAATAAAAAATTTTCATTCATATACAAAATTGTCCAGATTTCAGATATTAATTCTGTTTATTTTTGAAGCACAGTGCATGCCACACAAAACATGTCTGTGCACCAGATTTATTTAGCTGCATCTGATGCTTGCAACCTCTGCTTTATATATATGATCATATTTCCTCACAATAAATAAAGTTGGTAGTATATCAACTCCAGTTTTGAAAATGGGAAAAATTAAATGCTAAGTCTCAAGTGTTCAGAAATTTGTCTAAAGTTACAGATTTATATCTAATTCTTTTTTTATGTATGTATATATATACTGGGGATCGAACTCGGGACCTTGTGCTTGAGAGGCAGGTGGCAGAACCACTGAGCTAAATCCCTGGCCCCAGATTTATATCTAATTCTGAAATACAATAATGTTTCAGTAAATGAAAACTACTTAATAAATAGAAATATTTACTAGTGATATGATTAGGGCATGGAGTCTTTCAAGGTAACACGAGGACAAGTTCATCATCTGAAGTTCTTAGAGTATGATATGAATTTGCTTCAATTTTATTTCTAGTCATTTTATACATAGGTTTGATTTAACTAATAAATTTCAGTAGCCAAATATTATTCAATATGTGGAGTACTCTCCAAAGTAAATCAGAATTAGGAAAAAATGGTTGATATGTTTACCTTTATGATAATTCCCTTTTGATAATAACATCATCTTCTGAGTTTTAAATTGAATATTTAAAGATAGTAATATGGAGGCATTTTAACTTGTCCTTATATAAGCTAATTAATAAAATCATTAAAAATGTGGGAAATGTTCATTTCACTGTAAATTTTGTAAATGCTAATTTTATTTTTGTAGTAGGAATATAAAATATTAAACTTACTAAATTTATCTCATTAATGTATTTTTTTGTTAATTTTAATGTGCCAGATTGAAAATGAATCGGCAAGGCAATTTGCTTATGCTCCTTATAATTTATCTTCTGACACAGTGAAACACTTTCTAATTCGCTCTCTGTCTCTCTGTCACACACACACGCGCACACACACACACACACACACACACAGAGAAAAGAATAAAATCATGAAAAAGTTTTAAATTTTCTAAATACCAGTATCAGGCACTGGCTTGAACTTATTAAAAAGTTAAAGATTCTAATACATTCATTATTCTACAAAGTACTAAACATGCTTTATTCTGTAGAATTTATGCAATTTTACCTCCTCTGAAGATATAAATTACAAAGGCTTAGACATAAAACAAACCCAGGTTAAATAAGCTGTTGTATATAAAACACAAAAAATAGGCCTTTACTAAATATTAAATTCTTTCATGATAACTCCTGGATTTTGTGATGCTAGCACAATACAGAAGACTTGGGAATAAATTAAATCATGAAAGACACAAACCTTTATTCTTTTAAGGTATGATAGTTCAGAATAGAAATACTGCATCTCCAATAAACTACTATTAAATCGATCTCATTTATCCCCCAGATCAGAGGACAAATATTTCACACACATGTACACATGAAGAATTCATTGTTCATTTTTAAAAATATGATCACAAAGAAAAAAGTTTCAAGAATCTTGAAAAGTCACAAACAAATTCTCCCAGAACTACTCAGTTTTAAACAATAGCAAGAGAAGTTTCTCCTTGAAGCTCCAGAAACCTTTGCTACATACAACAAGCTTTGATACACTAAAAATGGCCCACCTCAGGTTCCTTGAACATAGGGTTTTTAAGATCTTCACATTCTTATACAGAAATAAGATAAACACACAAATTAACTAGAGGATTTATTATTCAATATGTTCATAGCTCTTGAGACTTTAAACATCAGTAGGCCATGTTTATTATAGCCAATGAGATAAATAGTTAAGTAATTCCCAAAGAACAAAGCCCCCATGTGCAACTGCTGCTAGTTTGGATCCTGCCTGCTAGAGTCTTAGATACCCCCATATTCTAATGTGGCCCAGGAAAATATTCAACGTTATATCAAAGTTTTATCAGACAAAAGTAGTAAGAGAAAAAAGAAAGTGGACACCATTAGAACTCTTGGCGTCATGAAGCCAAAGGTGAAAAGGGGAGCCAAAAATGAGAAAGGAGCCATGACGACAGACATTGGATACTAACCTGGAATCTGAGCTCACTCTATCTGTACTCTAAATGAGTGTTTTAATTGCAGGCATCAGAAACCCCAGGAATGACAACGGCACAGTAACCAGGGATACAGTTAGGAAGGGCCTGAACTCTCTTTATTCAGGTCTGTTTTTGAATTCCTCTCTTCAGTCACTTGTTTCACTGTAGTCTTGGGTTACCATATCATTGAAGGCCAACTCCCAGTTTTCTCATCTATAAAACAAGCATAATAATCATTTTAAAAATTGTGAAGATTAATTTTGAGATTATTTGTTTAAAGGCATTCACAGCAGAACAGAAAACAATTTTAAATGCCTATCTGCAAAGCACTACAACATTAAAAGATTTTTAAAAAATAGAAGACCTAGCAAAGGAATCTCATGAGAAGGGCTCAAAGACATAAAGAAAACCAAGAATGTGTAATGCCCTGGAAACCAAGTGGAAGCATTTCAGGAATAAATAAGTGAATACCCTTGTCACAGGGAGGAGGTGGAGATGATCAATATACACAATTATTTCAGGAATTTTATTAAAAGATAGAATGGGGAATGTTGTAGTAAGGTATTCTTCTTTTCATTTGAAAGGTATAGTATATTTTTTGTGTTAAAATACTTTCTAACAGGGAAGGAAATTGAGAATTTGGAATTTATCTGATATTTATTGTAACAAGATTTACAATAGAAGGGAGGAGGAGAGTTGAAATTCCATAAACAAATAATTTCAATAAAATGATTAGCCTTATATAGGAAAAAAGATAGTTCATTCACTGTATAATGGGTGAGGCAGAAAGATGATTTTATACAGGCAATGAAAGCAGGTTGGTAGATTTAGTGCCTGTTAGATGAGGCATTTTTGGCACAATTGCTTTTTCAATTTAAAAAGCAAGAATTTTGTTAATCAGTTATGAGTGAGAAGAGATGAGAACTGATGGATTGAGAACAGAAAAAAATATAAACTTTAAAATGTAGTAGAATTATTGGCAATGTTAAAATTCCAGTAGATATTTGTGGTAATACATTTGAGTGAATTCCATCTGCATGATGATATAAATATACCTTGTCAGAAAGACAAAGCTAATGGGTAAGATTTCACCTGGGTTAAAGATTTTTCATGCCAGTGCCATGGAGGAAGAGACATGTGAGGAATACGAGGGCTTATATAATGGAATTTGTGGTGGAACACTGACTCTAAGATGATGAAACCAAAGTGAACACACGAAGAGATGACACATGGTAAAAAAGTAGCCAGGTCAATAAACTAAACCTGAGAAATATAAGAATGACAGTACTAGAGGAAGTAAAATAGAGAACACAAGAAGGAAGTCTTTCTCATCTTATGTCCTGAGTAAGACTTAAAATTCATAATTTGTAAGTAATCGTGTCACTGTTCCTAATAAAAATTATAGCAAGACCCTAAGAGTGGAGATGAGGCAGAGGCAAAGATCAATTTCTAAGAAAGTCAAGGATTGAAAATCAGGTTACGGGCTGGGGATTTAGTTCAGCGGCACTGTGCCTGCCTTGCAAGTGCAAGGTCCTGAGTTTGATGCACAGTACAAAAAAAAGTCAGGGTAGAAAGTGGTCATACATATTTCTATGGACGACACCAGAAATAATTTAAGAACATGATGGAGAGAAAGCCAGGGAATAGCGAGTAAATATCTTCAATAAATGGAATGGAATCAGACTGTTGATAGACAACAGCATCAAGAAAGAGCAACAATGATTAAGTCTGATCACATGTACCTAAAGGAGCTAGGGGTCAAGAGCAGGGAGGAAGATGGTAAACAAGTAACAGGATGAACAAGAAAGTTATCTGCGTTAGTTTCCTATTATTGTTGTAACAAATTACCATAAACTGAATGGTTTAAAGTAACACATTTTTCTTATTTTGCAGTTTTGGGGGTCAAAAGTCTGAAGTGTGTTTCTCTGGCTATCACTGAAATGCCAGCAGGGTTGTGCTCCTTCTAGGGACTCCAGGGTAAAATCTGTTCTCTTGCTCTTTCCAGCTTCTAGAGCCTCTTTGCATTCCTTGGCTCATGATCTCTTCATCCATCTTCAAACCAGTAGATGGTGTCTTGATATCTCTCCTTGATTCTGAGATTCTTGCCTCCCTCTTATAAGAATCCTTATGACTGTAACAAGCTCACATAGATAGATAACTCAACATCATCTTCCCATTCCACAATCTTTAATTCCATAAGTAAAGTCCTTCTTGCTATGTATAAGAATATATTCACAGTCTCTGCAATTTACACGGATTTTTGGGGGGTGGATGGAAAGGCAGGCAATGATTCTGCCTTCCAAATTACCAATGCTATTCCAGGTCCAGTGATGTATGGTATAAAGGAGGAGGAAAACTACTCTTCAGTAATCCAGAGAGGATTTAGTTAGTACCAAAAAAAAGGAAGAAAAATATTTGGAGAAGTGTTTAACAAGACAATAGATTTTATGGCACCAGACTATGAGATTAATAGCTTCAGTGGGAGAAATCAGAGATCAGGGAGGAGTGAAAATTGGGTCAGATGAGCTGATACAGAGAACTTGTGTGGCTAAGAATCTGCACAGTGAGGGAAGACGTGGGAGGTTGGTGTTTCTGGTGTTAACTCAGGGGAAAAGCAATGTAGAATACAAAGGAATTTATTCTGAGAGAAAGGTGGATATTTAATAGTAATTGTAGATCACTTACTGAATATTTTTCCCATGCAGTATTTAGTCGAAGGATTCATAGTGCCAATCTCCAGTTAGGAGAAGATGCTGGGACTAGCAATCTTCTTTGGAGCTCACAGTCCATGTATCTTCCTTAACAATGTGGTTTCCCTCATCCATGGCATGTCCATAAAGTATCCTCTAACACTGGAAATTGTTATAAGCAGAAAAAATTTTTAAATGTATAACACATATACAGATGTATTGAGAGAAGCAGAACCTGTACTTTTTAGCATGCATTTGCAATTCAGTTGGTCATGTCTTAACTATTTGTCAAAAAATTTAGAAATTCATGCTATTCTTTACCCTATGGTGGAAAAAATATGCCTTTTAAGGGTAATCTGTAGAGAAATGTATACCATTAATGTGGTCCACCGGGAATGTAAAGTCAGCAGCTACTTAGGTGAACTTGAGCCTTACCTCCCTATAAGGTGAATATCATAATAGAGCACATCTAAGAAGATTATTATGAGGATTCCATAAAATAATATGTATTTTTATACCAAGTCATGATTCAAAATTTTTGGAATTATCATTTTTATTTTTAGTACATTTACCAAATTCTGCTCTGAATTTTGAGTCTTACCAGTCAGGTCCCCCCCCCCCCTCCTCTGAGTGGTACCAGTTGGTAGCCTGTTAGAAGCTCTGCTGCACAGCAGTGGGAGAGTGGTGGGCGGGTGAGCAGCTGGTTAGCAAGCGAAGCTTCACCTGTTTTATAGCTGATTGCCAAGGCTCTCACGCATTACCACTTGAGCTCTGCTCCCTGTCAGATCAGCAGCGGTATGAGATACTCACAGAAGCCTGAACCCTACTGTGAATTGCTCATGCTAGGGACCTAGGCTGTCCGTTCCTTACCAGAATCTAATCCCAAAACCTTTCCTCCCTCCACCCCTCCCCTCAAACTCCTGTCCTTGGAAAAATTGTGTTCCACAGACAGGTTGGGAACCACTGTTATTAATTATGTGGAAAAGGCTAATAAATAATCAAAACAAGTAGGTGTAGTATCTGAGATTTGACACTATTCTTGATAACCTCCTGGTTTATAGAAAATGAGACTCAGAAGGCATGTCAACATTTGTTTTATTCTTTCTTTCATTTAACTCATACATAAGTAAGAGTGCTTACTCTTAGATATTGAAATTGCAGCAATAAAAGCAGATAAAGCCATTGCTCTCACAGAGTAAAAGTTCTAAAGGGAAGACACATTACAATGTCAAGGAGTGATAAGTGCTATAAAAATAATACACAGTAATTGGGCAGTGATCTAGAATGGCCATGTGGAATAGGGAATTTATGGTAGATAGGATGGTCACAGAAGGCATCTTTGACATGAAATTTGATTAGAAATTCAAATGAGGCAAGGCATCTGGAGAAGAGAATTCCAAACTAAGCAGAAAGAAGAGTAGATGCAAAGGTTCTGGTTCTGGAATAGAATTGACAAATCAGCCAGGCAGGAGGAAGGCCAGGGTGGCTAGAGTTTAATGCATGAGGGGGGAGGAAATATGTGAAGTTTTTGATTTTTTTTCTAATATAGTCTATTTCTCCAATAACCACAAAAGAGCTATTCTGAACAAGCGAATAATATTTATTTAAGGTAATAATATTTATTTAAATTTAAATTTATTTATGTATTATTAATTTATTTAAAATATTTAAATTAAATTTAAACAATACTTAGTATAAAACTGAAAGTATGTCATTCTTTCTAACTAAACCCCTCCCCCTAAAAGGAATGACTATAATATTGTCTAATATCTTTTCATTTCAAAATATATATTTCCAAAATTGGGAACCTACTATACTCACCATTTTACATCTTAATTTTTGTGGCAACATAATCTAATTTAGGGTCTTTTAAGGCCATACAGTTTTCAATATCATACTCTGTGGATCATTCCCATAAATTTAATGATGCTCTTATTTTATAAGTACACTTTTATAATTTTCAATTGTTGCTTTTACAAAAAATGTAATGATCTAAATCTTGGGGGTGTATAATATATTTAATTTATTACATGAAATACACTTAATAAATACACTAATTTATGCCATAGCACAATTCCAGTGGGCCTTCTGGACCAGTGGAAATGTCAATCTAGAAGGATAACAAAGAATTTGAGTTATCTCATACTAAATACAAAATTTTGTCTTGGGTTTATTGTTTGCACAAGGTAAATACTTCTGTCCTGTTCATCCTCCCTTGTCCTAATCTTTCAAAATGTCCCCTATATTTATGAATGCTTCATGTGAGTGAACTACATCTTGGCTTTGTGAAACTTTTCTTACAAGTTTAAAATTTGAATCTGGAATAGCATAGTGGATTCAAAAGACAGAAACAAGGAAACAGAGAAAGAGGATGCTAGAGAAACAGTAACCATTAGAACTCAAGCTACCTGGATTTCACTAATATTTTGAAAAGAGTTTTGGCTTTCCGCAAGGTGGGTATCATGATTCAAGCCAATCTTATCTAGATCTCTCAAGGGGGACAAAATGGCCCCAGCTGACATCTGGGTTACATATTTAAGGTCCAAACATCCAAGGAGGGGAAGTCTGTCGAACTAACTCTTCTGATTTTAAGTAAACAAATAACCAAGTGATGGACTGATTGCTTCACTTTTTTGGGATTTCTATATACATAGCCACATACCAGTGATCAAAAAAAGTATCATCTTCAAATTGGACCATTTTACAGGACTGTGTCTATAGTTCATTCATAACACTTTATATTATTAGGAGCAATATGTCTACTGTTATGGCTTGTGTTTAGATGTCCCATCCAAAGTCTCATGTTTTTTCTAAGTGGCTGAATCTAGAGTGTGTGATTGAATCATGGTGGGGCTAGGCCCTAGCACTAGAATTAAGGGTACTAGGATTAAGAGTGTGAGTGCTACCAGCCCTAAGTAGTCTGAATAAGATAAAAGGGGCAGAAAGATGCTGTTAAAGTCCCTTGTTATCTTTGCTACCTTGTGTGCACCATGTTTCAGCTCTGTGATACCGGTTTGCCATCCCTGCCTTGGAGCCATCCAATCATGGACTGAAACTTCTACAAACTGTGATCAAATAAACCCTTTCCCCTATAACTTTGGGTGTCAGACATTTTGTCTCACCAAGGAGAAAAAACTAACTAACACATCTACTAAAGTCTCTCACACTCCCCATTTTTCCATGACACACACATGCACTGTAATAAAGGGCAAATAATTATAAATTACATAGAATACAAATAAAACCTCATTCATAATTTTGGCTCCCTTGCCTTTTCTTCCTGCCAGCAGTACTATGACATTTTATAACTCGTTATTCCACAATAGTCTTGTCTGAGAAAAACAAAAGAAGCCTGTATGTATATGCATATTTTTCAAATTCCCTATTACATCTTCAGTGTCTTTAAGCAATCTATAAGTTTTGTCAGGTTCTCAAATACTTATAGATTGCTTAAAGACACTGAAGATGTTTGTATGTTTCATATTCATTCATGTTTTCATTTACTGTCATGAAAATTAATACTATTCAACTATCAAAAATGAACCAATTATTACCTATTACCCAAAATAAATACTTTAAATCTATATATGATCAATTTTCCTCATTCTTATATAAAAATATCTATCCAAACTCATTTATATGTAAGTGTTCACATACACACTTATACACACACAGGTCAGAATAAACTGACTGATTTCCTCTTCTTTCTTGTTTTTATGACATTTCTGTTTTATTTTGGAAAATGACATCTTAATAGTTCACTTGGATATTAAACTAAAACCTAGATAATCAAAGTAAATTATAAAATATACTCCGGTAGATATCCTTTAAGAATTATTACAGATCTAGCATTATGTAGGTATACTTCTAGAGTACTATCCTCAAACAAAAAAAATGACTAATTTTAAAAAAATTTTTACCGTTTAGGATTCTGAAATTATTTCCAGGGATTATTATTGTCTTTAATGATGATTTTTAACTTTTCAGTATAGCCATCAGTTTTCTAAAACCTCACTCCATCTAGTGGTTCTGGCTCAGGTTACTTTGCAGTCTTCTCTTGTATTCATCCTTCAGTTATTGCTGGTCTTCGGGGGTATGCTGAGCTCTTTTGTAACTCAGCCTATGTGGTTCTCTTCAGCAAACTTCATCAACTCCCATGGCCTCAGTTATCATCTGTTCAAAATATACACTTAATTCAAATTCTTCTGAATTGTAAAACTGCATGTCTAACTATATATGACCTAGAAATAATTACTTAGAGTTCCCACGGATACTTCAAAATCAACACTTCAAAACATACTTCAAAATCACTACCTCAAAGAAGCCTTTTCACCTGAAACTGAATTTTCTTCTGTTTCTCATCGTAGTTAATGCCATCAACATGTTATCTCCTTTCTCATTCCCCATATCCAACCACTAAGGGCCGATTAATTTACTGCTAAACATTTCTTGGATCAATTTAGTTCTTTCTATCTTTCTTGTTTCTAGCGTAACTTAGGTCACTATTTCTCTTACCTGGATGATTCAGTCAACAGGAACGGTGCCCCTGGGGTTCTGGAGTAGAAACATTTGGAGCCTCTTATGGTTTGAATGTTTGTCACTTCAAAAATTCATGTGGAAATTCAGTTGCCATTGTTACACTTTTCAGCAATGGGGCCTTTAAGAGGTAATTAGGCCACAAGGGTTTCAACCTCATAGGGGATATTAGTGCATGTTCATCTTCTCTTGTCCTCTCAGACTACCATGAGAACACACAGCAAGCAAGAAGGCCATCTCCAGATGTATTACTTTTAGTTCAAATTTCCCAGTCTCCAAAACTCTAAGCTAATAAATTTCTGTTCAGTATAAATTACCCAGGCTTAGGTATTCTATTATAGCAGCATAAGACAAATTGAGGCAGTGCCTTTCTGTCTCATCCCCATCTGGAACTCTGAACAATGTTTAACTCTGGATATTCCACATTCTCCTTCCTCCAAATAAGCTGTACTCTTGCCTACATTTTATATCACACACACACACACACACCAATTGTCTGAAATATATTTGGCTCTAAGAAACAATTCACCATTATCCCTATGATTATCAACAAGGTTAGGTTTGGTGTTCCTCCAAGAAAATTCCTAAATGTCTATTATATTTTAATCAGAAAAGTTTTTATTTTATTGTAATTACTCACTGAGTTAGTCTATTTGGGCTGCTGTAACAAAATATCATAAGCTGGGTAAGTTAAGCAACTGAAATTTTTAACTCACAATTCTGAAGACTGGAGAGTGTAAGACCAAGGTGTCAGCAAATTCCATGTGTGGTGAAAAAATCTGCTTTCTGGCTCACAGATGGTACTTTCATATCTGTGTGGTGAAAGGAGCCTGGAGTCTATCTTTAGGCTTCTTTTGTAAGAGCACTGTGTTAACTTTACATTACTGCAACAAAATGCATTAGGCAATTAAGTTATAAAGAGAAAATGCTTATTTAGCTCCCAGTTTGGAGGGTTTGGAGTCCAATCTAGGGGTTGGTAAGAGGAATAATGGGGCATTGTTTTAGGCAACTGATTAGGGTGTTACATCACAGTGATGTCAGAGTAAGCATCATACCTGCAGCCAGAAAGCAGAGAGAAATCATGAGGAAAAGACTGGAGAACTGTGAGTCCTTTGATGGTCCAGTCCCAGTGACCAAGAACTTCTCACTCGGACTCACCTCTTAAAGGTTCACACACCTCCCAGTACTGCCACCCTGGGGACCAAGCCTTAAGGAACAAGCATTTATACCATGATAACCACTGATCCCATTCATGAGTGATCTACTCTCATGACCTAATCACCTCCCCAAATTCCCACTTCAGGAATTAGGATTTCAAAATATGAATTTGGAGAGGACACAAATACTCAAACCATACTGTGCATTTACCTAATTATCTCTCTGGTGGCATCTTGTATGTGCATCTTTTTATCACTGCCTTGCAGCACAAATAGCAGAGTAGACACTTAGGAAAAATATCCTAGGTGAAAGAAAAGGATCAACGAACACATGCTAGGATCTCAGACAAAGATAATAAGAAGGGTTGTAACGTTACTAAAACAGAATTCTGGTGAAGCAGGAGATGTTCGTAATGTCATTATTATTAATCCATTTGTAAAACAAGTTAGAGTGCTGATTCGTTTTTTGGTTTTTTTTGGTACTGGGGATCGAACTTGGGTCCTTGCGCTTGTGCAGCCCACGGCAAAACCACTGAGCTAAATCCCCGGCCCAAAGTGCTCATTCTTTATCTGCAAATGCTGCCACTACAAGTAGAAATGTTCCATTAAAGGATAGGATTTAACGGCATGCCATTTCCTAATTTCCCCATCTTTGGAGATGATGGCTGAGCTCTAGCTGAACACAGCCAAACAACTCCCAAGGTCATGAGTAAAAACACTTAGGTTGCCAATGAATTGTTCTCCAAAACAATGATTATTAGGACAACAAAATCATGTAAATAGAAATGGAAAAGGCATGACAGGTCATGTAATCTCTCCGGTGAGAATACTCTCTTAAATGTTGGCCTCAAGTGCTCATCAGGGTGACTTTTAAATACAATCAGTGTTGTAAATCCCACCTTCACCCTTGGGAGGCTGTTGTGCAACCCAAAAATTTTCTTTGCTTCTGCTTGGATGAAATATTTCAAAATATGTCTTTTCCTCAGTGAGTGCATGTTACTGTAGCTACAACATGTCTTGTAATTCTATCTTTTTAAAGTTTTATAAATAAGAATAAATTACAATAAAATTTTGGAGCAGGAATATCAATTCAGGTAAGCATTGAGTTATGGGGGGCTGGGTATTTAGCTCAGTGGTTTCGCCGTCTGCTGCACAAGCACAAGGGCCCAAGTTCGATCCCCGGTACCAAAAAAAAGAATTGAGTTATGGGCAGTAAATTTACTCTTATCAGTTAAAATAAATAAATAAATACATAAATAAATAAATAAATAAATAGTGATAAATTCCTGCTCTTCTAGATTTGATATACATTTCTGCTATTAATGTTTAAAAATTAGAATGGGAAAATAGTTGGGGCATGTCACAAAGAGCAAACTTGAAGAGACTCTCCATGGTCTTTTAGTAAGCTGAAGAAAAGTTTAACTCTTTTAAGAAAATGAGCTGTATATTGGAGCTGGGAAATTCTGGGCTTATGTTGAACATTCTGAAAGTCAGTTTTGTTTGTTTTCTACTTTAATCTTCATTTTTATTGGTATTTAACTGTTCTAATTCAGTATGTGACCTGTTTGCATCATTAATAATAGCTGTGGTTCATTGGGTAAGGCAATATGGGCCTTTTACTTGCACAATTTCCCAAACATCTATGTTTCTTGTGTCAACAGCTTGAAGTTTGGCACATTTTATACCACTGTACTACTTTTCACTCAGTACTTTCTTGAGATGACTTAGTTTTTAAATTAAATGTTTTAAGAAATATTTATAGCATGAATGTAATTGCTTATTTTCCCTAATATATACAAGTTTAAAACATTGCATAACTGCTAAAATATCTTGCAGTCCAGTTTTGAAAAACTCTCCATATTCTATTATATATCTATAGATAATTTTTCCTCTTCAATAAAGACTACATCATTCAGAGTTATTTCTCTTAGCTTCCTACCTGCTAAAAATTTTCTGTATTATAAATATTGTCTTCATTCTGTTATATTGAATGCTTTTCAATTGTTATTACAAAATCTATCTAATTTGAACAAATAAAAAATTATAATCTTAAATTTGTAACAGGGAGAAAATGTTTGTTTCTAATAGGATTGCTATTGAATTTTGCTAAGTAAGATGCATAAGTAACAGTAACTAGAGAGTATTAATAGACATTTTTTCTGGGCTGGAGATTTAGCTCAGTGGTTGCGCCGCGTACCTTGCAAGTGCAAGGACTGGAGTTCGATCCCCCAGTACTAAAAAAAAAAGACATTTTTCTTTTAAGATACCAGGTAATGACCAGAATGCCATATATATGCATACTTTTTTCATAACAAACATTTTCAAAGTTTGATTTAAGTCAATCTTATATATTCTAAATTAAATATAAATTTATATTAAATCTTATATTTAAGTCTTACTATTTTCTTTGACTGTCATACTAGGTACCCCTGAAAACACTTCTACTTCAAAATTATTGAGGAAAATATTCTTTTTTTTTTTTTTTTTTTGGTAACAGGGATCGAACTCG